TGTTAACTTTGGGGAAGGAGGTTAGATACAGCAGCATGGTTAGGGCTATGAAAAAAGCAGGCCAGGGTGCTGAGGGAGTCCACACAGAGCAGAGGAAGGTACGCGGTGAGGCTGTGAGGTAAGGACTGAGGCCCGGTTGGGAAAGCCCTACACAGCCCACATCAAGGAACTAGAAATCTATTTTAAGGCCATTGAACAGTCAAGGGAATTTGGGGCAAGGAAGTGTGCAAGACCATCACCTGATAGCTTTTATTTTTAAAAGAAAAATCTTCAGTGAAGGTGAAAAAGACTAAAAGAATAGTTAGAAAGTTACTGAAATAACTCAAGTAGGAGATGCAGACTCCTTGAGTAGGGCAAAAATTAGCATTCATTCATTCATTTCACAACTACTTCTTAAGAACTCTGAATGCCAGGTCTGTACTTGTGCTGGGCGTGGATGGATGTGAGAGATAAGATGGGGGGGGTGAGAGAAAAGGGTGCATGGGAGCGAGATAAGACAAGGAGTGACTTAGGGCACTTGGAGATAGTTCCCAATAGATCCACTGGGATAGATCCACTGACCAAGAGCAGATTTGGGGGGTAGTGTGATGAGTTTAATTTGGGCACGGTGAGGGTTAGATGGTTGCATTTGAGATGTCCACTGGCCCTTATCATATGGGCCTGGTCCTCTGAAGACAAGGCCAGTGATGGGCAAATGCATTAAGTAGCTGAAGTCATGGGAGTTGGTGATATTGCCTGGGGACCCCGTGTAGAGAAGAGGTTTGGAGATAGTCCTGGGGAATATGAGGAAGAGCCCCTAAGGGAGACAGGGAAGAGCTCAACAGAGATGTAGGAGAAGAGCCAGCAGCAGCCAGGAGAGGACAGCATTTAAGGAGAGAGAGAGAGAGGTCAATGCTGGAGGAGGTAAAGAGGAATGAAAAAATGAGAGAGATGGCTGGCTGGGGGATTTAGGCTTGCAAGACGAATAACAGTGACCGAGGCCAGGCTGTGGTGGGGGAAGTTACAGACAGTGGATGTTGCTCTGCAAAGGAGTTTGTGGGGGCAAAGGAGGGAGGCAGGAGAGCAGTTTGAAGGAGAAATAAGATCTGAGACGCTTTTTAAAGGGTGCAAGTGGCTGACATATGTTTGGGATAGAGGGAGGAAGCCAGTGGAAAGGAAGGGAAGAATGGAGACTCTGCAGGAAGAGCTGATGTGAGAGGCCACGAAATGAAGTGTACAAGTGGAGAAGGAGGGAGAAGGGCCGAGGTTTCTGTGGGGAAGAGGTGTCAGAGCAAGTGCACAGTGGTGTCCCAGTACAGCCTCTATTTGTCCCCTGGAGATAGAAGAGCAGGTTGTCTACTGAGTGTGAAAGGGCCAGAGGTAGGACAGGAATCTCCAGAATAGTGACTGACTGGAAGGGATTTTTATCCAGAAACATAAGATAAAAGTTTATTAAGCAGTGCTGAAGGTCTCATACATGAGGGCATCTTGGGAGCAGGGGGTGGGGGGAGAAAACATACAACCTGGTCAGACAAGATATGGGGACAGTAGAACAAGGGAGTGTGGGGTAGGGATGTGAGGGTGCTCTGGAGAGTGTCAATGGCGGGTCAACAGAGTAAGACTCCAGACAGGTGTTCATTCTTCCCTCCAGAGTTCTGAGCTGGAGGAGCCAGGCCCTACAGGATCGGGCAGTCTCTTGCTACCTGCTAACACGTGGGGTAGGATCTGCTGCCTTCGTCTGTGTGCGTGAAGCTACTAGCCCTGCTGGGCTGCAGGTTTCCACTAGGGCGCTGGCTTTCAGCTGGGGTGAGGGAAGACTTTTTTCCCTATACATTCAAGCCGTTCATAACATTGACTCTTCTAATAATTTCAATTCTCTTTTTCATAATCCTCTTCTCATTCAGATTTCCTACTCTTCTTCTAAAAGTTCAATTTAGGGATTTCAATAGTATTGTATCAAACATTTGCGTAGGAGGAATGGGTGTGGCCTGACTTGCAGGGTTCTGGCAATGCCCTTTGTAGAACTGACCTGGGCCTTTCTTTCTTTCTTCCGGTAAAACATCAGCCCGTTGAATTCCCCTTTTAAAAATGCAAATAAGCCCAGAATGTAATAAGTTAACTTGGGTTCCATTTAGGTAGAATTTAAGAGCCCCCATGGGAGTGGGATTCTTTGGGAAAGGTACAATGCAGTGGGTGGGCATCACCAGTCACTCTCACCCACCAGGAGCCAGGAGAGGAGAGTGTTTAAGGAACCAGAAGAAGGTTTCTTCTTCCAGGCAGGACCAGCAGCAAGTGAGAGGGTGCAGAGCAGAGGGCAGGCCTAACAGGAACCCCAGGCCTGGTCTGCTCATCCTGGTCAGCACTTGTAAAAATGCCCTTTATGATTAGTAAGTGGGCACCCGAGTGCCTGCCCTTCTACCCAGCCACTTGCAGGGGTTTGTCTCCCTCAGCAGTATACCCAGCCATTCAGGGCTAAGGTTTGACTCAGCCTCGGTGGGGGCCTTGTGGGTTGTTAAATACCTCGAGTGTCATTCCTGGAAAGAACATTACAGAAGGGCAAGGAGGCACACGGCAGAAACAAGTCTCATGCACCCCACAATTTGCAGGTCCTGCCTACTTTCTGGCTTTCCCCCAACATGTCATTGAGCATGTCTTACCCTTGAGGGGGGGAGAGTGACAGAGGAAGGTTTTGGGGACCACTGTTTCCAGGGACCCCTGTTAGAAGACTATGGGGAGGATTGCTGCAGGGAAACCTCCCTGCATCCTCTGAGTGGGGCTTCTGAACAGAGGCCAGCATTTGCCCTCCTTCCTGTGTACCCCAGTTTGGAAAACACATCGCTTTATCCTGTCCCACTCTGAAAACTGTCACTCATCAAGGAAGCAAGTGATCAACAGGAGCTTTTAGGGCTACACCAACCACTGGAACCCAGGCCAACTTTCAGAAATAGGGGGTGGGGGCAGTTTTTATAGACACTATAAACAGGAAAACTCATTTCCAAGAGCATCCTCATAAAGAAAGCCTTTGGGACTTACAAAAGTTAGACCACATTAAGACATTCTGGCTGCCTTCCAAAGCCTACAGGGACTTAACCAGATAAATTTATTGAAAAATAGTTTTGAATATTGCAAAACAATTTGGCTTTGAGCAATTATAGGCTTTCCAATAATGAAAGGTTTATTTTGAGACATATTTCTCGCCAATTAAATCGAAAGACATATGGTATTCCCATCCCAACAGATTCCCATTATGGTTAACTACTTTTTAATAATGATAATACACAATACTTCTATGTGCTAGGTACTTTCTAAGCACTATAATAAACTCCTTTAATCTTTACCATCTAACTATGAGGTGGGGGCTCTTAGTATTCTCATTATATCAGTGAGGAAATGGAGACACAGAGAGGTTAAGTAACCTGCCCTAGATCACACAGCTAGTAGTTGGTGGAACCTGCTGGGCTGTTCCATTGCTCTGAGCTGTTCCTACCCAGGGGTAATTGTTGACAGTAATAAAAGGGACTAGGTGAACAACAGCATGCACTGCCTGCTGCCACCGGCCCTGAAACCCCTTCTTTAAGAGCCCACTGCAAAGGATTTATTTTTTCCTTCACAATTCCCTACTTAAAAATATGCTTGCTTTTGAATCACCATAGAACGCACTCTGGCTGACTCATAGGGGATTTTTTACTCTCAGAATAAAAACGTTGTGCAGCCTTAAGTATTTAAAACAAAATATAAGTCTTTGTGCTGCTGTGGTAAGAATTTGTTTAAAATTTTGGTGAAATTAGTTCAGCCTGGATGGTACTGACAGACCTGAGACTCACACCTGTCTCTGGTCCCTCCCTGTACACACACACACGCTTGTCTCCTGCAAGGCATCCCTCTCCAGAAGTCCCTGCCATGCGGTCCACACCTTGGCCAAGTTCCTCATCTCCATCATTTGCCACCTCTTTAAAATACCATGCAAAGCCATTTTCCTTTCCTTTTCAAGTCAAGTGCTCTGTCTGTTCAGTTCTACATACAGATGTGAATTCCTTTGCACTGTGTGCTAAGTGCTAGAGTTTCAGAGATAAAATGAAGTCGCAGCCCCTTCTGCAGAGACACACTGTTTACTTCCCCCTTCCAGCTTCTCCACAGAACTGAAACATGGGGATGGGGCACGGCAGCAGAGTAGGGCCCACTCCAAACGTACCTGGGCCTCACTGATTTGCACGAAGGCAGGGCACATGCTAGAACCAGACACATCACAGCTCACGGTGTTTTCTTTATTTGGATATTACTTTGAGTTTCTCTCAGTCTAAGGGCCAGGGAATAGAAGTTAACTAAGAAAAAGATATCACTCGGGATTATCATTATGGTGAACTATTCCAGACCCTACGCCATGTGGGGAGACACTAGTTAAAGCCACGTGGTGACCACAGATGAGAATGATGAGAAGGAGGTAGGCTCTCACTGATGTTGTAACTCAAAGGTTGACATCAGTGCTGGACACATGGTAGGTGTCTCACGTTAGCTGATACTAAGGAATAAAGGAAGGTGCCTTTCTTTATTGCTGAAAATAAAAAGGCCCCAGACACTCTCTCAGAGGGATAGACTAATTGCTAACACCAAGGTGACCTTAGAAGAGCATAGGTTGGGAAACTCAACAAATGTGTGTGTACCATCCATGCACAGGCATATATGTTCACTGCTTGTCAAGTTAACATTCACTTAGGATGTCCTGTGGTTCCCTCCTAAGCACCAGAGCCAGAAGGGCCACATCCAAGGGTGTGCCCACTGGCAGTCTCACACCCTAACCCAGACTGATTGCAAATGGCTCCAAGTTCCATTGATCAATGTTGTGCCAGTTTTGTATAAATTATATATATATGTGTATATATATACATTTTATTTCCTTGCTTATTTATTTTTATTTCTTTGCTTTTTTTTTTTCTTTTGCAAGATCAGTTCTCCATACACATTAATGTCTCTCCCCACCCATGGTCCTTGTGAACTTGCATGGGTGAGGTTTGGGCACTTACCACAGTGCAGCAGAGAGGCCAGAACCACCAGAGGAGGGCCAGAGCTAGGAGCAAGAACAGGATCAGCAGGGCGATGGCCAGGATGGAGCCGTCAGACTGCAAGGCCAAGGAAGAGGCAGTCAGTGGTGGGACAGGACCACGTGTGCTCGTCCCTCCCTAAGCTCCCATCACCAATATGCAGAGAAGCACCCAGTTTGCAAGCAAAGGCAGGTTGAAACTCTGCCCATCATTCTGGGGCTCATAGCCCTGTAATGCATTTTTTAAAGCCAAGTTTCAAGAGAAATGGATTTGTCTTTTCAGGGAGGCTTTGCTCTTCTCTTTGAGGAACATTCTGATGGGCCAATCCTACAAGCGACAGAATTAGGCATTGAGATGGCCTACCACTGCCCCTCTGTTCCTGGAATATCATCCCCTGTTTGGGGACAGCCTCCTGCTCACTGGCACTGATGCTGTGGCCACTACCTGGGCTGGTAGACTCAGGATGGTGGTCCTCAGGATTCAGTCTGCTCCCCTAAACCCGTTCACTGAAGTGCATGTAACAAATTCAGGAGGCTGGGACAGAAAGTCTGTAGATGGGATGCCATAGAGGGCAGATGAATCTCAGGGTAGGGTATTGAGGCAGCAACAGCTGCTGCATCTGGGAGGAGAGGGGTGTGGTGGCTGAGTCAGCTCTGAGTCAGGTCAAGTGGGTACATGGGCACGAGGAAGGGAGGAAGGTACCCAAGACCAGAGTTATCTACTTCAAAATGTGCCTAGGCCAGTCCTGAAAATAGACAATGGTTGCTGTGGCCTGAGATGGTGTTAACGTTTAGCAAACAGGCTTCACTTGGTATCAGCATTCTGAGGTTGCTGGTTAAAGGAGGACACCAGTGTAACCCCCTCCACCTCACCCCCTACCAGTGACAGGGAGCGCAAATCAGCACCACTTTCTAGGGGATCAGGAGGTGAATTGTTACAGGGATTGGAAGCCCCTGGACATTTCACTTTTTAGTCTAAGAAAATAATCAGGTATGTCTGCAGAGATAATCAAAAAGAAAACAACATAAATGTTTCACAATTAGAGAAGGTTAAATAATGCGCTATAGAATTTTCATGCAATCGGTGACTACGTAGACATATCATTGTCAAATAATAATTAAACGAGGTGGGAAGACATGCTGGTATGACGAGTGTGAGTTTATGCATACGTGTATCAAGAGTGAGGGACACAGACAGACCGTCTCTGATATGTAATAAACTTTTTACTTGTATTTACTAAATTATTAATACCAATGGTTTTGCTGGCAATGGGTTTGTGATAATTTTTTCTTTTATAAATCTATTTTTTAAAAAACATCTCATAGGATCAGTGCCCGTAGCACAGTGATTATGGCGCCAGCCACATACACCAAGGGTGGCGGGTTCAAACCTAGCCCCGGCCAGCTAAACAACTGCAACAAAAAAATAGCTAGGCATTGTGGCAGGTGCCTATAGTCCCAGCTACTTGGGAGGCTGAGGCAAGAGAATTGCTTAAGCCCAAGAGTTTAAGGTTGCTGTGAGCTGTGATGCCATGGCACTCTTCGAGGGTGACATAATGAAACTCTGTCTCAAAAAAAGAAAAAAAATCTCGTAATGAGAAAATAAACTACCGAGGCTGTTCTTTAAACATCTGTCTTTGGGGCGCCCCACTTTGGTGTCAGAGCTCACTGGGCCCAGGGGTTCTTATCCAGGGCCTATGGGAATACACATGGAGTACAAGATGGGCTCAAGGGATGGATGGAAGCTTGTGACCTTTGGCAATGACACCATTTGTTGTTAGTGCACACGTCTTCTGGGGAGACCACTCATAGCACTAGCAGTCTCAGGCCGTTCCCCTCCCCTGGTTGCACAGGAGGGAGGTTGGGTGGCCGGTCCAGGGTGCAGCCGCAGGTTAATGGCAGAGCACACTCCCACTCTCAGTGCTCAGGAGGGGCTACTGGAAGCTGTTTAAAGGCAGCCCTACTCCCTGGAACTCCCTGGAATGTCTTTGACCAAAAAGCCAGGGAACTAAACACCCCTGACCCCCACTAAGCCAAGGCTTGGGAATGTCAGATTGCCCTGGAGGGAGCTGTAGCCTCTCAAGTGCAGGTGCAGGGCTGGGCAACCCAGGGCCGGGGTGGCGAGCGAGCACAGGGCCCCAAGCAGGGATGCTGTGGGCCCGCAGTTTCTATAGGCGAGCACGGCAGAGGGTGAGGCTCTGGATCGTGACAGAAAAAAAAATCACATCTTCCAAATGTATTGTTAGTCAAGCACAGCCCTCTTGATCTCAGTCTCTTCATTCCAGGCGTCCTCACTACGGCCTGCCGAGGACATTTATCCGGCCTGCCGGGTGTTTCTGCCGCAGCTGCCTGTCCTGCTTAGCAGCTGACTTGTCCTGGGCCCGCAGTCCGGCCCTCCGATGGTCTGAGGGACAGTGAACTAGCCCCTTGTTTAGAAAGTTTGAGGACCCCTGCTTCATTCCATCCATCCCCATAAAATGGGGATAATAAACATCACCTGCCTCACCACAGCAGTGTGAGCATAAAATGAGCCACGAGACACAAGCAGCTGTGGCTGGGCAGCCTGACACAAGTGGTCTTATCAAACACCGAGCTGTGACTCACTCTTCCTCTAGCTTTTCTCAACAGAATATGGTGAGCATTTCAGAGCATAAATCTGTTTGCATTTGGAGTGGCAAGTGGTTTTGGATACAGAGAGGCTTTTAAATTAGCAGCCTTGTAGTAAAGACTACGTTTACTCACATGATACACAATTTCCCCTGACCTTGATTTTCTTTTTTCACTTTAGGTAGATGAACTGGAGCAGAAGGGCTGATAAATTGTGGGGCACTTTTTTTTATTTCCTTCTGGAAGAAGGTTTTCCATGAGGCGGTGAGGGTGAAGAACCTGGTGCAGAGGGGAGTGGCTGCCACACTGGGGGGAGAGAGTGATTGATGGCTTTTCTCCAGCCAAGATAGGCCTGCCTCTTTCCGGCCACAATTCCCTTTGGAGGTCTTGGGGGAGGACAGTGGGGTACAGGGGAGTGGGTGATGGGGGTGAAAAGACATAGGGACAGAAGCTCCAAGAGGGGCTTTCGCCTGCTCTGGAGACAGCCCTGGGATAAAGCCTTCAAATGCATTGCCTGGTTTTATTGAGATTTTCCAGAAACCATTACAGACCCAGTTAAAAGAATTTTGATCCACTCAGACCTACAGCTAATGTCTTAGAAGGAGGTAACATGTACATGCAACCCTAGAGGTTCATTCACTCATTCATTCAGCAGGGATTTATTGAAGGTCTCTACAAAAAAATGGTGAGCAGAGGAAAGATAGAGTCTCTTAACACAGAGCAATTGCCTTAACCATCCACAGATAGAACAGCCCAAAGTAACCATTAAGAATATCTGCCACGAATAGAACCTTCTCTGATGAAGGCAGATGAACGGCCAACAAACATTTGAAAAGATGCTTATTGTCCCTAATTGTCAGAAAAATACAAATCAAAACCACCTGAGAAATCACCTAACCCCAGTAAGAATGGACCACATCACAAAGTCTCAAAGCTGCAGATGCCGGCGTGGATGTGGAGAGAAGGGAACACTTTTACACTGTTGGTAGCACTGCAAACTAATACAACTTTTTTGGAAGGAAGTATAGAGAATCTTCAAAGAACTCAAATTAGACCTCCCATTTGATCCTATAATCCCATTACTAGGCATCTCCTCAGAAGAAAACAAATCATTTTATCATAGGACATTTGCACTAGACTTTATCACAGCTCAATTTACAATCACCAAGATATGGAAACAACCTAAATGCCTATCAACTCAGAAATGGATTAATAAGCTGTGGTATATATAAACCATAGAATACTGTTCAGCCATTAAAAAAGATGGAGACTTTACATCTTTTGTGTTATCCTAGATAGAATTGGAACATATTCTTCTTAGTAAAGTATCACAAGAATGGAGAAGCAAGAATCCAGTGTACTTAATTCTGATATGAAGCCAGTAGTAGGCGATCTAATACATACCCTCATAAGAGAACAACTCAATTCGGTTCAAGGGAGGGGGAGGGGGAGGGGGAACAAAGGAGCAGGGAGAGGGGAGGGGGATAGGGTTTGCAGTGTATGGCACACCTCTTGGGGGCAGGACACATTTATAAGAAGGGCTTTACCTAACAGATCCAAACAGTGTAACCTAATTCTTTGCACCCTCAATGAACCTGAAACAATTAAAAAAAAAAAAAAAGAATCTCTGCCATTGACTGAGCATTACTGTGTCCAACAATGGGCCGTATGCCTTACAAAATCCCCTTCCCTAACTGGCCACACTATGAAGCAGTTATTATTGACTACTTTTTAAAAAATAGATGAGGATCTCTTGAACTAGTTATTTTCAACTGCTGTGCTGCAGCACATTTGTGTGTCATGAGACTATCGTAGGTATGCTGTGAAAAATTTTAAAGATCATTAATTAAATTATTTTTGAAAGAAGTTTAAAGCACATTAAGTATATTCTTTTTTTTTTTACTTTTTATTTTTGATCAACATGAAATAAGTGTACCGTAGAAGTTTAACTATATGTTCAAGCATGCCATGAGATTAAAAAAGGTTGAAAAACACTGTCTTAAACTCTTCAGCCCAAAAGATGCTTCTGCCTCAGCCTCTCCAATAGCTGGGAGTATAGGTACATACCACCATGCCTAGTTAATTTTTCTCTGTAGAGTCTCACTACGTTGCTCAGGTTGATCTCAAATTGCTGGCCCAAGCATTCCTCCCACCTTGGCCTCCCAACAGGCTGAGCTTGTAGGCCACGAGCCACTGTGCCCAGCTGCAAAACTGGGATTTGAATCCACATGTTCTGATTTTAGAATCTTGCCTCCCTCCCACTTAACCATTACACTATAATAACAAATTTATAAAAATTTAGTTAGGTAATACCTGTACTTTGAAGACTATATTTTAAGTAGTTGCATCAGTGATTATAACTGCAATGTGACTGCCCTCTCTGCTCTGACAGAACGGTTCACTCACATGGCCCGGCATGGATTGGCACGCAGCATGGCTGAAGTGTGCTTCAAAACAAAGCCAGAAAGGAAC